AGATACATTAGATTATTATGATTTTATCAGATGCATCGCCCAAATCGACAAATCGGTTGCACTCAGATTTACCAATACCAGGCTGACATTTACTTTTTTCGTGACGGCAGGGCTCCACTAAAACAAAACAGTCTAATAATCACCGACACCCCTTCTCAGACTGAAGACGTAATTACGGGGGAATAGATTATTTTTAGAACTTTTTACCTCTAAGAAGAATAGAGCCATTAAATAAATACCTCTTATTAGAACGCACCATCCGTATTATTTATTAGTAATTATCCTTATTTGTTATGCTCATACAACATTATGTATGTACAATTTTGAAAATAGAAACCAAACCAAACCAAGAATGAAACTGGTGTCATTTTATCTAATGACATCAGTTGCATACCCATCTGCCCATCTGTGTGTACTCTACCAATGCTTTAGTTATGATTTCTGTTCATATGTTACAAACATACAAATAAAAAGTTTGTTGAAAGGAACAACAATTAAAAAAACATAAAAAACAAGCAACATAAAAAAAAACATCCATACATACATGCAAGCCATGTCTAGTTAAAATACCCTTGTTGTGATGAGTCAGAGCATGGCAAACTGTGGAAAATTCACTTCAATGAGTGCGAAATACGACAAAGCTTCATGCATTATGCTTCACTGATCATTGCATCACTCGTCGAGTAATGGTATACCGGTAGTCGAAATGGAATTATTACAGGTGCATTTCACGATGTAAAATGTTTTATTGCATCAGAAATTAGCGACCAGCAAATGGTGATGCACAAATCTTTCAAAGGGGATTATATGAAAATAGGGACTTTTCATGCTTCACTGTGATTTAATTTTTTCCGTATTTTTCCCTCCACAGGGATTTTATTGATTTTCATTTGCAACAAATTAACAAACATATATTCATGGTAATTTACGTTTAAACTATAAATGAAATTGACTTCTCAAGTTACAAATATGTATTAAACTGTTGAGTAAACCAGAAGACAAATATATTTCCAATAATGTATTTCTGATGTTCATTGACAAAATTGAAGAACAATACAAAAAAAAACAATATAATCGTTTGATTATTGGGCTATAAAGTTACATTGTTGTGATCACTGCTAACGATTTGGAAACTATCTCGAATTAGCAACACCTTAAAGATAAAGCACACAAATCCAGTTCGGAGTTCACTGTGATGGCAATATTGATATATTTTCAAGGCAATGAAGTAAAGGATACTGCACAATAACAGCAGAACTCATTTTTAATAGAAACCTTGTATCTTGACAACAACTTAGTATTAACAACATTTAACTGTGATAGCTGATTATGTACAGAGTAATAATTTGTCTTGGATTATGAATCCATGAGTTTTATCGAACACACCGAGAAATGTCACTAAAATTTGTTAATAATGTAGTCCATATAGGAATGAAAATGATCGACTGTATCCCTCCCCCTTCCTAAATAAACATTAGTCATTCCCGGGGATCTTGGACTGCACGGTTTTCCAATTTACTGTACGAATCCATATACGTGTGTACAACCACCATAAATAAAACGCACATGTCTCGTTTGTTTACTGTTATCTATCTACGTCACACCCGACATTGCGCAATACCCCGCTACCCGGCCGCGCTGTCAATGAAATGTCATTGCCCAATACAGTATTCGCTGTGCGCTCACTGTAAGCAGATTGATGTAACTTTCAAGGGACATACAAAATATGCTTGTAATCCAGTAACGTATATATTGCAGGACCATTCTTTTTCCAAACTAGTGCGTTTACAACAGATTACAATATGGTTCTGTTTTAAACATTTTTATACTATAATGAGGAAGTGCGCTTATGCTTATCCCCCAGCCCCCATGCCTTTGTCATAAAAGAGTAATATGATTTTATTTAAATTGTGAGTTGATGTGAGTTGATGGAAAACACTCATTACGATCAGTTCAACCATGCTTACTCACGTTGTGTTGCATAACATATTGCAGACGAAATTTACTTTTTTAAATGCAAAGAGAGTCCATCTATACGAAGTTTCTTGTAATCAATGGTTGACTAATAATGGTTACGAAATAATGAATAGAGGGACGGAGTATTATACCAGGGAGATGGGCGTACCCCTAAAATGGCAACAATAAATAACAAGGCTCCTTCGTGTCCTTACTTTGACAAATTTGCGAAGGGTAAAATGAAATGGCCCCATGATTTTATTTACCAAAATGGGGTTAAAGAAAGTATGTAAGAGGTCTTCAGTTTACTCCCCCCCCCTTCCCCCCCCCCCACTCTATCTCTCCCTCTCTCTCTCTCTCTCTCTCCCTCTTTCCCGACACATCGGATAAGTGGAAATAATATAAGCTAATTATAAGTTTATTAGATAATAGATTCAATCGAGCAAGTGTATACTTTCAAATGGCATACTGAAACTGAGAGTATGCGTGGTATATTATAGATTGAACACAGTACGTCATTCTCGCATCTCACTGATATGGCATAATTATGCAATATGGGTGATTGTGAGCGTGAGCTCTACTATCAATGGGTAATAGTTTACTACGACGTCACTGATTTTAGAGCGGCCTTCCCCATTACGGTATATTAATTATAGCAGCTGTTTTTCGGGAATTTCCCCAGCAATGCGATTTTCGAAACGATAAAAGACGTTCCATTTGATATTGGGTCATTTAAACAATTACCTGCTCTCAATACACACGCTGCCAAAACGGCTCTCGTATTTCTCGTCATTCTATACTCAAAAAAGAAGAAGGAAGAAAACTTCAAGATTCTACTACTACCAGTCTCAGTAAAAGATTTCATGATGCGATTGACTCTACAGTTATTCATAGCTGGATGGCTGGTAGCTTGCACATATTTATCAGCTAATCCAGGTACATACGTAGTGATTTTTCACTTCTTTCTTTCTTTCTCTCTCTCCCTCTCTCTCTCTCTCTCTCTCTTTCTCTCTCTCTCTCTCTCTCTCTCTCCCCCTCCCCCTCTCTTTCTCCCTCTCTCTCTCTCTCTTTCCTCTCTTCACCCTATCCCTAACCCATCAAATCATTCCGTATCAATTTTTTTGTTTTCAAGTTAGAACTTAAAGAAATGCGTTGAAAATTGTAAAAACGGTTTTAAATTTGCTTGTTCGATTTCCAGGGTAAACAAAAGAGGCATAGAGTTAGGCCTAATAATATACTCTTCATTAATTTTTATTTTTAAGGATGATCTTAAACAAAAAAGGTCATGTTAAACTTTCTTAATACTGAATATAGTGTCCATCAACCACACACTTAAGAATGCCTTAGCAATGAAGCTACTAGTAGCTTCTGGTCATCAAGGTATTGCTTCACCCACATGGACTTAATGTCGTCATGTTTCGGGAATTCCCCCTGTCGATCATCGGTTTGGAGTGTACAATTAGGGACTCAATACACGACTAAACTGTCTATAGCTAAGCTATAGGTGTATATACTTACCTTTGTCTATCAGTGAAGTTTCTTGGTGTCTAATCATATATTCCATTGTCTACTCTTATCATGCTCAGTATGGTAGAAATTTAATCCAAATTAATTGCACAGTCGCTGTGTTGTCTGCGATCCAGGCTATCGTTCCATGACATTCCCGCCACACAAACGACCATGTAAAAATGTTATTCGTAGAGTGGAATTCGAATGAAACCAACTAAAGTAAGAACCACACAAACGGCGATATAATAATGTTATTTGTAGAGTGGAATTCGAATAAAAACTACTTGAAAATACAACTAAAGTATTAGTAAGAATACTTTGATATCTGCAAGAATATTATAATCCAAGGGCGTTGCACTTGATGTACAATAAACAGCATGCACGGTAGCCGAGCGGGAAGCGGGGAATCCCCTTCCAAAAGTTCCATTACTTAGTCTTTAACAAAACTGCTGATTTGATACTTAAAATAAAATTGATTTTAATTTTTGTAAGATAGTGAGATAAGATCGTTTTTAATTTTTAAAATGTTTCACAATTTATGATTTTTCAAAACTTTAATTCAATTAAATTTAAGTATTGATTTGTAACCACAATTCATAACGTTTATGACAGAAAAGTCCAACGTAAGACTATCTGTGCGACCCATTCCTAATAGTAATAGCTCACTGCACTGTGATCACAGTATGCACCAGCCGAATTCGATTCGTAATGATCAAGAGAACCAATATTTAGGTGAGGCGCAATTTACGGATCTTTTGTCTTTTGTCTTTTGTGATGGACCAACAAAGCTACTGCGGTCACTTCTTGGGTCGTCTTTGATATGGGTTTTTTCATGTGGCCATACGATTTCATCACATCAGATCATAGAGTCATCAGATATATCGCCAAAATTTGCACTCGGATCAGATTTACCGACATTTACTTTTTTCATGACGTGCGGCGCTAGGGCTCTGGCGTCGACACCCCTTCTCAGGCAGAAGACGTAATTATGGGGGAATTAATTATTTTAGAACTTCTTTTTTCTAGACCTCTAGCCTAGCTCCCTGAAGAACCATTCGTTAAATTAATGAATAATGGCTCTGAATACAGAATAGAGCAATCCATCTGTATTATTTTAAAGTAACTATCATTATTTGTTATGTTCATAACAAATTGTGTATGTATTTAGACTCTATATGTATGTTTTTAATACAGAAAATCAAACTAAACCAAACTACAATGTATAATTTGATAATACGACATGAGTTTCATACCCATCTGCCGTGTGTGTACTCTGCCAATGCTCTCCATCTATTTATGATTTCTGTTGTTATGCATGTTGAGAATATGAAATAATTAGTTTGTCAGAAGGACCAACAAAATGACATGAATTTTTAGTTGACATTGCGTTGAAACGACGGTGAAACCCAGGGATGCATGTTGTGTGATGTAATTGTAAAGATCAATTTGCTAATAATGACTGCATTTATCAGAAATGATGTGTGAGTGAGGCTAGCTGTCTTGTGGACTCTGGTTATCATGATTATGACTAGACAGAAATAACCGTCTGATATGGGTAATTTCTTTAATAAAACTGACATTTGTTGACATTCTAGTGGAGCCAGACATAGTCTCAGTGGACCAACCGACGACATAGAGAGACTAAAGCTTTTGGTCTAGGTTATGACATGCCTATTTTAATCATTTTGGGACCTTTTAGGTTTCAACAACATTTTACATAATTCTGTATTAAATATTTCCCTTTCTTTTTCTTTACTTTTCAACTTGCAGCCTCGGCCAGCCTGTTCAGCTGTGGAGAGTTTTTCTACAATCCTATCAATCAGAAATGTTGTGGGGGTCGCATACTGAGAACTCCAGTGGAACTTGAATTCGAATTTAGATGCTGTAAGTACCTCTTAAAGGGATCCGATCTCTTTAAGTGAAGTTAATAAAGGGTCATTCAAATTGTCTTCGCTGCTATTTTTCATGAAAGTGTTTGTTTCAGACTTAGGTTTAGAAGAGGTCCACCTGGTGTGTATTGATGAACATTTGGCATATTCCATTTTCTTTTGAAATTTCACCAAATTGCTTATCAAATAATCAAACATTTAAATAATTTATAAGATATGTTTTCAAGAAAAAGTGAAAGTGTGTTATGCAAAGTCTTTTTAAAAGGGAGAACTGAAGCCATTTGAAGGACTGTCTGAGGAAGTGATAACTTAGCATTTAGGCGTCATTTATGTTAGATGAGAGTTTTGCCTGTTAAAGATTTTATTATTATTGTTATTGTTATATCAGATTGCTATTTTGTTATGATTGGAATTAGGAGGATCTAGGTTAAAGTTATATTGGTTCAAATCACTAAATTTGTTTTTTCATTCCATTCTTAGGTGGAGATGAGCTATATCGCTTAGATGGAACATGGGAATGCTGCCAAAACACCAAGATGGACTTAGGAGGAGATGCAGTCTGCTGCAACAATGAGATAACCAACTCTACCACCCATGAGTGCTGCGGTAATCCGCGCGCATCTCCGCACAAGCATCAAAAACAATTAGGTAATAATAATAATAATTAGAGGCATTTCTATAGCGCCGTCTTTCTAGAAGTTCTATTCCGAGGTAGTTTTCTTAGAAATCTGAGTGTTAAATTCTTTTCACAGCTCACCTGGATATCATATGGATGAATGTCACTACCAGATGACACTATCTAACTGAAGACAAAGTAAGAAAATCTTAATTGAAGTGGTTAGGAGCATCAAGCATGTTGTCTTGCAATCTGGTTTTAGAGGAGTATGAATTCTTGTGTGCACATTGGGCATGCTGTAGTGACTGGCTGACCCCCCCCCACCCCCACCCCCATATGTGCACTGTAAACATAGAATTTCAAAAAGGGTTAAAAGTTTAATGTAATCATTGTAAGTATTCTAGAGTTAGGGATATAGTGGTTGCTGTCTTTCATAGTTGTTGGAAGCAGTATTGTTAAGAACTGGACATTATGATGATCAACAGACCTATTGTAAAACTCTATGAGGAGCATTAGTTTGCATGCTTGAAAACTTAAGGAGTGTCTAATTGAACTTTTTGTTACATTGATTTTGTTTGCCTGGTAATATCATACAGCGATACAGATTGCTCTTTCAAATATCTCCTTACCTTGGTTTGTTGTGAAAGTATAGTCTTGATAGTCTAGGTGATAATTTGAGTACCTATTTTCATCCTCTGCTTTATGATCGACAGGACATGAATGCTGTGGAAAGTCTTACTATGACACTGACACCCAAACGTGCTGTGGTCATGACTTCATCTACGGTAATTCCCCTCGTGTCGCTGATGGTCTTGGCTCATGCTGTGGGTCACATACATACGATGCCTCCTCGGAGATCTGCTGCCCTCTACCAACAGGATTGATGCAGTCCCATTCAGTCGGACAATATGGCGTCATGCTCCAGGAGACTGAATGTTGTGGGGATGGATGGATTAATAAGACGACACACATATGCTGCCAGGTATGTACATCATGTCTAGTGGATAATCGTATTATGCTCACATTCTGTTTCCTGCATGGACATATACGCAAAGTCAATGCTGTAATAACAATCTGCAGGTTAGGGGAGGGGGGGGGGGGGGGGTTCTGGGTTATGTAATGTCCAGAGGTTCATGTGATTCAGGTTGTGTGATTGCTCTGTATCACAAGCTTATCAGGGTTATTATGGGTCCGTCGATCTCTGACTTTGAATTGAAAAAGAAAACAATCTTTTCAAAAAAGCAGAAGTGTATACTGCATAATAGTGATGCATACATTGATGGCTTAGTTGTTTAATGATATTTGTACAGTTGAAACAGTCTTTAGACATTGGCTTTTTCTGACAACGGACTTTATCTCATACAATTATTTAAATCATTTCATGATTATAAAACTGACCCAGAATTTGTAGTGAAAGGTAAATAAATTTCTAACCCTATTTCTGTTTGAATCTTCAACATAGGATACACCACAACCACGAGGTAATGGCGCTACCAGTTGCTACGGAAACCAGGCTTATGACCCGACCAAAGAGGTCATATGTGGCACCAGGCTGCATGACATTCATGATGGGAAGACAGAGTGTTGTGCTGGTGAACTCATCAATCCTAATGTTAAGCCTTGTTGCAACGACCCAGATCTCCTAGCACAATCTCCATTCTCTTGCTGTGGACTCGGGTGGAGCAGAGAAGCCTATGACCCCACCCAATCATCCTGCACCGCGCAAGGCTCTAGGATTAAGTTCCCTGAACTTAAAGTCAGTGGTCCAACCAAGCTGTGGGAACAGTGTGATGGTACAACGTACGCTAGTACACTTCAAATCTGCTGCGGTGGTCATCTAACACCAAAGTTTCCTGATTCTCTGTGCTGTGGCTCAGGTATGTACCTCTCATATATTATTCTTATTCACATGTTTATTTTAATATTTTACATCAATTTAAAATGTCATCACAACCATTCTATATGAATTCAAGCAGCATGAAGTGATACAGATCATATTACAGTGAAACCTGTCTATAAAGACCACCCAAATGGAGACAAGAAAAGTGGTCTTTATAGGCAGGTGGTCTTTATGTACAGGTTCCTTTAGTACATGTTTCAATGAGAAAACATTTTCAAGAAAAACAAAAAATGTGGTCTTTGTAGACAGGTGGACTTTCTATATAGCTGGTCATTAAAGCAGGTTTGACTGTACAACCTTTCTAACAGTATTCTTTTTTTTTTTATTAGAATATATATGCATATATATATACGGAGATAGTTCCAACGCCCTTCTTCTGTTTTCTCTGCAGAGTCCTTCAGGTACACAGATCAATTTTGTGTTGTTGATGGAACTCAAAGCAAGGTAGTGGATAAAATAACAGCCAATGCTGAAATCTGCACCGAACATGGTCAGGAGATGGACCTACAGTATGACCCTGAAACACAGACATGTTGCAGAGACCCCTTGGAGCTAAGGGATTGGAGAGTCTTCAATGGTACCCAGGGAGAATGCTGCCTGCTATCAGAGACTCATGTTATACTCACCGATCCAAGTTCACAAACATGCTGCAAAGGTGAGCTTCATGCAGACAAGTTTTTATTTTTCATCCAGCAATACCATAGGTCTAAAACACCTTTTGTTTGTATCGCACTATTTCAAGAGTGTTAACTATAGGTAAAGTAAATCAGTTCTCATCGATCTTTGGTGATTTTCTTGTTTTCTTTATTTAAATGATAATCATTCTGACATCAGAAGGGAAAAAATTGTCAATGGTGTCACTTTGGGGCCTTTACAATCTCATCACAAAGTAATCTGAATTATGTTGTACAAGTACTACCATGGTGTCTTAACTTGGTTGATGTTGTATCGTATTGCACTTATAAAGTCCCTTTCAGACATGGCACAGTGAACCACCTGACCCGTAGAATGTGTCGAATCAGAATTAACCATGTTAACCACGTATAAGAAGAGGCTATTCTGTAGGGATATAGGAATTTTAAAAAAAGGATACATAGCTGTGTGTAACGATGTACTCCCTGATCTGTCTGTTGTTTTACATATTAGACTTATTGGTGCACAATGAAACTTGTTGAGACAGTTTTTATGTGAAACTGCACAACTGATAATTGTATCTAATAATAGTGAACAACACGATGAAGTAGGTGATCAATGATTTAAATATATGTTAGTATGTTGGAGTCCAAGGTTTAACATTTATAAATGTTATTTTATGTGTCACAGCTGGAGAAATCCAGAAGGTCCATCCAACCCCTCTAGGCGAAGGAGAATGTTGCGGCCCAGAGATGATTATCAAAGGCCGACAGCTTTGTGACAGTTCGATGCAAGAAGTAGTGGATATCCCTTTCAACCGTCTAACTCACAATGATGTCTGTGTCCCAAAAGATCGCGAACATAACCTCATTCGCCAGACTTATGACAATCGCCGAGAGGTACGTCTAAACCGTTCTACGTTTTGTAGTTAAGAGTAGGATAGGTTAAAGAGTTATCACAGACATTGTAAGGATATAGATTACATGATTTACCAAGTGCTTTATAAACTAGTCAAAGTTAGAACCTGCCCCAAAAGACACCCATAAACTCACAGATATTATGTACTTATAAAGGTCTCACTTGTGCATATTAGAATAATTTCTCTCAAAATACTCTCACAAATAACTTTTGTTTCCCCATTTTGAAAACAGAAATAATTCCACTTTCCATAATGAAATGCACTTTTAGTGCATAAAAAAATAGTACCAGGCACCTACACAACTTTCATGAGCATGTATTCATTTATCTTTCTAGGTTTTGCAACTTGGTACAAATGCCTTCAATCTGTGCATGCCAAATTGTACCAAGAAATTCTTTTTAACAAATTTCAATGCTCCATGGTAATCATTTCCTTCTCCTCCTTCCCTGTCTATTCTCCAGTTTTGTTCTGATGGTGGTGAGATCATTCCCAAAACAGAAGGCAAGGATCTTTGTGGAGGTCAGATCTATGATACCGACTCCCACATCTGTTGTGGATCATTCATCTATAGACTTGTCACTCATCAGTGCTGCGCCGACGTTGTCCAACCTCTGATAAACGATGATGGGCTCCCTCTAGAGTGCTGTGGGATACAGGCCTACCATTCCGGCACATCCACCTGTAAACGTGGAACTGTATTGGATGATATACCTCAGGCTAATGCAAGGTACATTTCATTTGTTATTATGTGTATGATCAACTATAAATCAAGGAATTAGATAGGCATCACATAATATTGGTTCAAATGGATTGTATACAAAAATGAGAAATGGCAGTCAACTGGCTACATTGGTTTTTCATAATACAATACTTTGGTAACATTTGTTTTCTTTGAAAGTGTTTATATTGAATTGTAGCCCTATTTATTCACCACGACTTGATGAAACAACATTGAATGCCATTTGATTTGATAATTAATTTTAACCCTTTTCTGGTACAGGTATTGTGGAGCGGATGTGTATGATAACAGCCAATATGACTGCTTGGATGGTGGAGAGCTAGTACCACAAGAAGCTGGTCCTTATATCAGGCTCTGCGGAACGACAAGAAAGGTCTATGATATGAGACATCAGGAATGCTGTGAAGAAGATCTGATCGGACCTGGACAAACCTGCTGCAATAGACGCCAGTATCAAACACCAGGTAAGTAGATGGAGTAGTCTTCAAGATATCTTCAAGATAGCAATCATCAGATTGATAATGTTATGATACCATTAAAACTTATTAAGGTCTGTTGTTTCATCCTGACTTGTTTGCAGGAATCCTTTGTGCAATCCTACCATAATAACTTAATTGATGAAAGACCTTACTAATTATGTGTTCAAAATGAAAATAAATAACTTTGATATATATTTAAACTTTGGTTATGAGTGGATCTTTATTCTTCAAATTCTGAAATCATCAATTCTTAACAACTTTGTCATTAGTTGATAAAGCAATAAAAAAGGTATGCATTCTATGCAGCATCTGGTTTGTAGGCATCATTTATTTTAAAAGATAATTAGTTGGTGAGGAAATCATGTGCCAGGGATATTAATTATATCATTACCATCTTTGACACCAACATTTCATTGCTTATTGCAGGGACACCTTTGAAAGGAGGCAAATGCTGTGGAGCTACCGGCTACAATCCCTCCACTCACAGTTGCTGCATCGGTTCCATCTCCCCTATCCATGGAATGGTAGAGCCCGCTTGCTGCATGCTCCAAGCTTACGACCGATCCGTATCAAACATCACCTGCTGCGGTGGCAAACTAAGCCGGAAGGGACAGGATGAGACGGAATGCTCTGCAGCCGATGGAGTGATACACAGACTGGATGAGATTGTGTGCAATGGTGTAAGACATCCAGCTGGCGAAAAACAATGCTGTGGATCTGACCTCTATGACCCTACAACACAAATGTGTTGCAATGGATTCAGGTGAGATATATATCTTCCCTGTCATGCTTATTGAAATGACCAGACTAAGTGTCTATTATGATGTATTCGTTAGTCTGTTATGTTACAGGTAGAACCAGTACTGGTGGAATAATTGACCTTTGTAATTTTCACTTTACATAATGATGATGATGTGCATCAAAGAGACTCAAGTTGTCTTCGTTTGGAAATAAAGTTTTTACCATTTTTCCCTGCATGGCTAAGGGTATTGATTGTTAATTCTACTTCTGACCATTTTCTGTATAGATATGAAGCAGAGGAAGACAGTGTATGCTGTGGGAACAAGCCATACCAAAATACAAGTGATGGAAGTCACTTGTGTTGTGGCGGAACTCTCCATACACAGGCAGGAGGTAAGGAGTGTTGTAACCGTGCTGCCTTTTACCCATCAACTCATCAGTGCTTCACAACAGGCAGTCAGAATATCATCATCAAGCTCTTAGACGACACACCATCCGCTACAGATGCCTTCTGCACTGAGGGGTCGTACAACCCGACCAACCAGACCTGCTGCGACGGCCTCCTCTACAATGGCCTCAGAGAATGCTGTGGAAATCAGGTGATAGAGATGCCCGATCTGGACATGTGCTGCAATGGTGAGATCCATTGGAGGATATATGGTAATCAGTCTCAGTGCTGCCCATCAGGTCAGATCATGCACCAATCAACAGGATGCGACGCACGCCAACTTGACCATGGCCATCAGCTTTGCAATGACACCGAGTACCTTCCTCTGATCCAGGGATGCTGTGCTGGTGATGTCTATTATTTGGATGACGCTCAGTGTAGAGATGATAAGGTCTTCCTGCTGTGTGGGGATCGGTTCTACTCCCAAGATGAACAGACCTGTTGCAATGGCACCTTGGATGATATCCCCAATGGACAGTGCTGTGAGAACACAGCATTCGATCCAACCTCTAAGATCTGTTGCCAAGGGGGTCTGCGTCGCATAGTCAGAGGAAGAGACCAGTGCTGTGGGGAGCTATCCTTTGACGTCACGAGAGAGATGTGCTGTGAGTCAGGACCTGTTCGAATGCCTCGTATCACCCCAAGGGTTCAGAGCAAGATGAACAGGGGCATCTGCTGTGGAGAAGGGTTTCAACCCAACTTCCAAACAAGACACTGTGAAGGTAACATTCTTTCACTGATATTCCACACTTACTTGTTTATCCATCAAAGGCTTTTTTTCCCTCTTCAAAATGGACCTTTTATAATACATTACAGCATTATAATTCTATAAATGAAGAATGATGACCACGGTCAATCCTCAATCCTCGATCCTTTCTCTCTCTCTCACATGGTGCACCCGCAAGCCTACTATATATCTACATCACCATGCAAGCCGACACTATAACTTGTTTATCCATCTAAGGCTTTTTTCTCATTCAAAATGGACCTTTGAAAATACATTACTGTGTTATGATTCTATAAATGAAGAATTATGTAGTACCATACAAAAAAACAAAAAAAGTCATGATGAAACCATAGATGTCGTTCTAAAGATGTGAGCCTTTCTCTACTGATTTGTTTATAAATATATTGATGTCTTTGCATCAGATTTTTAATTGTTTCCAATATTCCTTATTTCAGCTGTTCCATTGGTCTGTATGGGTCTTGAGCATGGCACCCTATGGCAGGAAGCATCGGATGACTGCAGTAAAGACTTCACCTTCCAATTCAATGCTCAACGCATCGACACCAACGACACCTACACCGTCATCAAGCTTGATGTCTATCACCCTCTCCTGGCCCACAACAGTAATGTTGAGATAGACACCCTGATCCTACCAGCTGATGTCGAGTGTAGGAAGCTGATTGTCGGTGAAACCTATATAGCCCTCTCATCGGGAGATATAGAGGGTAGTTCTCTATCTCTAACAAATCAAGATTTCTTAGGGCAGTATTCCAGAAAAATAGCTAGCAGGCTATTACGCAGGAGCTGTCTCTAAATTTACCATATAGTATTCCGTGTATACTCACTAAGTAAACTGTAACAGTTGAAAATATTGTGTACTTGTTTAAATCAATTTCATATTCTTATTGATGTAGCTCTTTTGGAGCCCAAAAAACATACTGAAAGAAAAGAAAAGGAAAAAAAAAGGAAAGGGGGAAAAAGGGATTGCCTTTTTTCTATTGGATAGGTAATGGAAGCATGAATTTCATAAACTTGTGTGGATGAGAGAAATTTGTAATGAATAAGGATATTTATTGTTTTGCTTGAATTATTTTATTTGCGCATTGAAATAAGAAAAAGAGTATAATATTTATGCCCTTTTTTCTTATTTCAATGAAAGTGGTATGCCTCTAGGAGGTTTCTGTACATAGTGATTGTAATATATTTATTTCAATGCTTCATGCAAATATTTGAATGTGAATGAAATGTTGCTTGTAGCTTTTGCAATATTTCCCAGTAGAATTTTTTCCTGTAAACCTATTGACCAGCTGCAAAGAATCAATTTAAAGTTTAGGTGTTCAGACATAGTTATGTATCCCATTGGTTGGCAAGTAAAAGAAGGTTGTAAAAGATTTCAGCTACAAGGTCCTTAGAAACGTGCAAATATCATGAATCTATTGTAAGATTGCAGTTGCAGAATACGATAACTATTAATTTCACCAATTTCCATATTATATAAAAGGTTCATGCATCTGTGATGCTTGTTATTGTATATTTTGCCGATATTTCTATTTTGTATATTTTTGTTATTTTTCATTATTCACAATATTTGAACCTGTGACTTTCATTGTATTGATATTTAATGGATTTAAAAACGAAAGACAAATATAATTGATTCTTAAAGAATTGTAACCAAATATTCAATGATATAGCGAGTCAGAATTGTTGAAAGCTAGAAGTTATTTCAAATTTTTATTTTGATGGTGTTATATTGTATAATATTTTGGTTGTCTTCTCTAAGAAACAAACAAAGTAATTCAACATAAGACATTAAAAAACAGGTTTCTTAAATTCTCTTTAGGTTCAAATTTTGAAAGCATGTCAGTATTGTGTCTAGGAATATTCTTGTACAAACTTCAACGAGATAGCAAGTAAATGTATGTTACAAGAGTTCTGAATCAATAATTCAATGAAATTGCACAATAATGAATGAAATAAAGCTCAAAACAAGAGTGAATGTCAATATTGCTTGGTCACTGCAGAATACAAGTACTATTGAAAAATCAGTGATAAAAGCATTTTGAACCTCTATATTTCTTTGAATATTTTTCTAATTATTTTGATAAATGCCTGTGTGTGAAGTATTGCAGTACCTTTTTTGCACTATAATATTAATCCTTTTCAAGCCCTCATATTGAAAGTGAGAAAAAATTTCTAGGGGAAATAGAACAGCTATTAGAAGCAGATTTATGAATGCTTTAAGATGTATGTAATACATGTGTGAAGTTCATATAAGTATTCTATACATGAGGTACATTGTATCTAAGTAGAAACTTCTACAAAAGAAAAAAGTCACTTGCTAGGGATATATCAAGATTAGACCGTTTAAAAACTCAACTGTTCTTGATTCTAAATGATATAAGGGTATTAATGTAGCTATCAAATGTTTAATAGACAGTTTTGAATTGGAGTATGTGTTACATGTAGATCTTACTGTAAAGGTCGAATAGTCACGGCACAGTAACTTACTGGATTAACTTCATCATTAATGCTCAGTATAAAAATCCTTGCCAATCTCCTATTAAAATGTATCTCTGGTTGTTTTCCTTTGTTTAAATGAATTTCAAAAGTTTTCCTACATTTTTATTTTGAAGATAACTTCTTTCCCCATATGTGTACTTAAGATATTGCCTAACCCTGTTATCACCTTTGATTCTGTGTATTCAAAGTTTTAATGCTCAATATCGGAAAGTTATTTTTCCTGAAATGTATTTGAATCTTAAATTATTATTATTGTACCTTGTAACTTAATAAATAAATTGAAAACAAAATGAAGCATTGGAAGTTGCCATTCAATGTAGCATAATCAGATACAAGTGCTTTTGTTTTGAGAGTCGGTGATTTAATGTGAGAAAGCAAATGTGTCTGGATACCGAGTGTTATGAGAAGTTGAAAACCATATATATCGGATCGGGGAGCAGTAAATTAATCGATGACTTGTGCAGCAAAACTTTGTCATAACCTCGGCCATCACGAGCTGCATTCACACTGCAAGCAAAAATTGATGATTTTTCTCACATTCCATTGTTTTGTCGGAAGTTGCAAGGTAAACGTAACAAAAAACCCACATCTGGAGAGCGTTTTTTTTTAACGGCAGCAGAAATTTCACCAATTTTTGCAATGTAAATGCTCACTCTCATCAACATCAGCAATCTTTCTGGTTTGGGGGGTCTTGGGAACCTCCTCACTTCTGTGTGAATGCATGCAAAGCAGCGACACGTCACGCATGGGCACTACTCACCAGAGGGAACAGACACTGATGTTTTATTTAATGGGTTTTTACAGAAGTGTAAAGGGTGGTCCAAATGCCAATTGCTTTTGAAAATGGTTTTGGGGCTGTGCAAATGGACCTACTACTGTATGTAGTTTTTTCAGAATACCACCCCTGGTAATCCCATGGTTCTTGACCCTTTTCTGGCCAAAGTAACAACTTTGGTAAATATACTGACCCTCACACCTAGTCAACAAATATAAGAACATTGAAATAATAATTGAAAATAGAAAAAATAAGGAATAGAAACAAAATAAAACTTCTAAAACAAAAAAAAGGACATATCCATATCTTTCCCATGCTCGAACTGTGGAATGACTGAAAATGTTTGTTTTATATATGATAGACCAACCCACATCTATCATGTTGAGAACCATTGTTGAACAAGGTGTGTATAATTATAAATATTTGAAATGTTCAGGGGGGGGGGGGATCAAACTAATGGCCGAGTGTGTACTCAAAACCCTCTAGTATATATATCGAAAGTTCTTAGAAGTGGTAAGAAAATGTTCCCCTACATTTTCAAAATAGTATTGCTCTCCAAAACACCATAAGACTTAAAGAGGATAATTGGCACGAGACAGATACCGAGACCAACCAAAGAGGTTCATGATAAATATACAACTCTTGAACAACATGAAAAAAGAAAACAACTACTACTATCGAATCACAGGAAACCCCACTGAACACTACTGCAAACCCCTTCACATAATGAGATAAGCGATAAGTAGCAGCGTCTGTCTGGAATATTCTGAACAAAAAGTTTGATTTTTTTGATACACAAAAATTCATAAAATATATGCAGCAAGACTATTCCCAGCTTTAAAACTTCATAACTTCAAAGATGTGATTAAATGATATGACTACCGGTAAATCAAAACAGATACGGCACAACAGTAAACAAGATAGTTTGTACAAATCTTTATTCATCATATTTGAGAATGAGTCCTGATTGTTTACGCATATTATTTAAAGGGAGTTACGACAGGGCAAAGATTTCACATGCTTGTAATTTCTAAACATTGATTCTAAAAATTAATATTTCATACTTTTGGTCATAAATTAATCTCTTGATAAAAACAAAAAAAATTACTTAAAAGTCATATAACTTGGGGGTATCATGGGTTAAAGGTTGTTTAGCTCTTCAGAGATAATCCATAATATGAAAATAAAAAAGAAACGTCATGGCACTTTTCAAACTTGTGACTGGCGAGGTCTATTTGTCACATTTTTGCTCACTCAAGCACTACACTCATTTTCTGAAGCAGAAATAAAAAATGAATGAAAGTTTCAGGTTTTCAGTAACCATACAATATATTGCTCTGAATGTCTCTCAATTTCATCACAAAATACTATATTTAGCTTGAAATAAATAAACGCTACATGTTTAAATATTCTCTAATGGAGGTACAGCAACCTTGACACATTTACATGAGCAAGCAAACGGAACCCGAATCCCAACGTGGGTTTGCTGTGCAGAATTTGTATACCCCATAACAACAGAATGCTATGTAAAGACTGGGGGTTCGTTCGTATACATACAAGTTGTACACAAATTAGTTTTCAGGGGATAGATCCGCTTTAATATAAGTACCATCACATAAGCCCAAATAGATATCACACATGACATGTTTCTTCTTATGTGTTCCCAAATTTGATTGAATGTAAACAGTAAGAAATAATTGAAAGAGTTTCATTATGCAGTTTTGTGTATTTTATTCAGTGACAAGGCTCATACATTGTCACCTAGATGTGATCGATTTTAGACAAATCTGACAAATGATTTAACTTTGCCTTGATAGTGAGATAATTACTTCAATAAAAATCAATGTATCTCAATTATGATGATATTTGCAGAATATCAAGAACGTTCTCCCCAACCCATTTTCTTTGTTAACTGTAGAGTAGTAGATTAGAAGGGGTCATCATTGTTTCCTAATGGTCCGCATAGATTGAGTGATGTCATTGGCATTCAATCACTTGGTGATGCTGTGGCTGTAAAGATAAAGAATGAAAAGAGGAAAAAATGCAAACATGAAGTTTGATTATGTCTGTCACTGTGTGACAAGATTTATATCAAAAACTGCATTTAATTGGAAGCTTTAGGTACATCCATGAATAACTAGTATGGGATATATGGCAATACAATGAAGATAAATCAAATAGAATAGTAAGCATTGAGCATAATGATCCCAATTTGCTGTCATATTATGCACTCACATGTATGCATCTCTTATATTTTCTTTGGTTGACGCACTACCCATTTATGAACCAAAATCATACCTGCATGCACACATTATGACAACCCTGTACTCTTTACAAATGAACATCATCCGCACAAACACAAATCACAGGTACAGTCAAGCCTTAGTGACAACCTGTCTACAAAGACCACCTGTCTCCAAAGGCCAAATTTTTTGTTTCCCTTGAATATGGTTCCTCATTGAAACGTATACTAAAGGAACCTGTACATAAAGACCATCTGCCTATAAAGACCACTTTTTTGTCTCCCTTGGGTGGTCTTTATAGACAGGTTTCACTGATACATTATGTATATGGCATCATGTACTCACGCAGTCATTGTCTTGCTTCCTCCACTGAGTACAATGTGCGCTGATTGGAGGTTCTTCTGTTTCTCTTGCATCCTAGCAACCGTGTGGAGGGGCGTGTCCGTGGATGACATCTTCTTCATAGCCTATGTATAATAAACCAAACATAATAAATAATAATAATAAAAACGTTGCTTATAAAGTGCTTACCACCGAAGTCTCTAAGCTCTATAACATATCGTCCTTGTTTTCACGAAGTAACGGTAGTGAGGAAAATCGTCACGCAAAGTGAATGCAAATTTTTTTCACTACCGTCACTTCATGAAAACAGCGACGATATATAGATTGTTGGTGTTTGGCAACAGTTTAATACAAAATTATTGGTGCTTAGAAAAGGTTGAGTACTGTATAAATTCACACAATAAAAAGGGGAAAATTTGTGAATATTTCTGTTCACTTCAAGATGTCACATACGAAGTATCTTCACTTATCTTCTGTTGGTATTTTCTCTCTCAACACTATATTGGTTAGAAATGATCAAAGCACACTCATCTATTCAGCATATATGACCAGTTTTGTTTATGTTTTTATTTCAGTTATTTAAATGATAAAACCATCAAAGCCATAGCAATTGAAACTTAAACATTTCTAACAATGAGATCAATGTGCTAAATTGTACCCAAAAACCTTGATCATGAAAAAATGCAGCTTATGTTACAGAAATGACATATACTGTGGCTATCATACTGTAGAGGTGTCGTGGTTGAGCGGATACGTCACCGGACTGTCAATCACAAGTTTTGCGGTACGAGTCCCGCCGCTGCACTAATGTCTTAAATTTGCCACACTCGACCCAGGTGATGCAAATGGGTACCTGGCAGGACATAATTCCTTGAAATACTAGAGCGCCAAAATGGCAGCCATGTTAAAGCCGGGGTCTAATTGTTGAGCGTCAGGAGTGTTAAGTCTGACAGACATGAGCGCTATAAAAGAACCCACTATTATTATTATTGTTATCATGCAGCCACTAGTGTTTAATGAAAGAGAGCCCTTGTAAACAGGCTTCCATTACATAGTTTGAATTGCAATACTAACCTCTTCTTCCAGGACTTTCTTCGCTCTTTTTTCTGTCTTCATTTTGCCGGATCCCTTACCATGGAAACGATGTGATAGCACTCTGAAAGCCTTTGGACAAGAGCAAGAAACAACTTATTTTACACAAGAAGAAAACTCTCAATAAACAAAGGTAAATGCATTTCTGTAAAACAAAAATTAAATGGAATGTTTTTATATATAGTAACAAGAGTTCAACATCACCTTGAATATCATTTCATGTGACATATCTCCACAACCCTATTCCTCCAAGCCCCTTCCCCATTAAAAAAAGTCAATTCAACAAGATCATGAAATGATACAGGAGATAGTTTAGTAGTACAACAGTACCTTAGCAATGCATGTATCCAACTTTACTTTCCAATATGAAAACACATGCTTCAGAAGCTTGGCAAACTTATGTCAGTTTCTTGTTGCCTCTTAATAACAGGACAAGAGTGACCATGAGATGGATTTGCATGAGAATCTAAAACGCTGTATATGTCAGAGTAAGACTTTTACAATCAAGAATCAGGGAGATATTTCCCACTAAAGAGAAGGTTGAGTTGTTGAAAAAAGAGGGGCAGATTTTCATGCCACATGTTTGTGTAGTCCCATATACATCTTTCCGTGTACAGTGCTTTTAACTTTACCAAGAATGGGCCAAATTTCTTATCATTTTGATGATTCCAGAACCTTGCAGTACACACCAATAGTACTTATATGCTAGATGATCAACCTTTTCTGATTGATTCCACAACGTTTCTTTCACAATGCAATCGTATAACCAGAACTCAACTTTATCTTTAAAGAATATCTTACCTCTTTCTGATTAAGAGACCTGCCAGTCTCATCAGTGTAGGTGATCTTGACTTCTGGTTTATAACCAGACTTCTCTTTGAAATCCATGAGTGGTCCTCTAAACCGGTCATTCTTATTGTACTTGGAATCAATGTCACTGAAAAGGGACAAAAATAGTCTCATTAATGGATCTATGATTAATAATAATAATAAAAACGGTGCTTATAAACAGACCTATTTACATTGTAATTAACTGCATTACATTTTCTATCATATTTCTGTTGAGTTTTAATTCATTGATGTATTTGTTTTGTGAAGCGCTTTGATCTGTTGTAAATTGGATATAGCGCTATAAAAGAAACAATTTATTATTATTATTATTATTAACACCAAAGTCTCTAGCACTATAACAAACAAAATACAATGATAAACATTTACATATTAAACAAAACAAAAAATTACAAATTAAGCTATAAATGATAGCACATACGAAATATTCATTAATGTGAACAGAGTTAGTTAATCATCAAAAGCAATCTTGAATAAATATGTCTGATGGATCTCAGCTTAGATTTCTATTATGAATAGCAATTTTGAAGAGTATGCTTCGTAATGTATTCAAAATACTCAGCAGTAGTAAAAAGGTAATTATTGGATAAATTCATGATTTTTTGCACAAAAACAACGCAAAAGATTATTCAATAAATGCAATGGAGTTGACTGTTGACCTTAATACATGCTGATCAAGGTCAGGCGAAAATAAATCTTTTACTAGAATTTAGATTCCTTTTCTTTACGAATGGAACTACTTTGTCTATTCTGCAATGTAATTTCCAAAGGTAAATAACTATGCATGGAGGCCTCATAGAAGTGACAGGGCAGAATCATGCATTCATTTCACACATATTGAACCTGGGCCCTCTGGCATAAAAAGTTAATTAAAAAAATAAAACGCAAGTCCGAAGTAAGTGATCCTGATTGGTTAAAAATTAAGTTGCGTTTAAACACAACTTTTTATGCAAGAGGACCCTGTGCATTTTCTAGAATTCTGAAAGACACACATAAAACCTTATGGTACTGTCCATACAACTGCATATAGTTTTCCAAGCAAACCAGTAAAATACCAATGTTGTAAATTATCTTTTTTCCTAGCACTGCCTAGTTACACTACAGGGGTACTACTTACAACAAGACAGAGACTACTTTCTCACTGATTTACTCACTTGAAGTTCTTCTCCTCTATTGTGCAATTCTTGGAGGTAAGTATGAGCGAGTCTCCTGTCTTTTTCTTTTTCTCTTTGATCAGGTAACCCTTCTTGGTTGCTAGTGTCAATGCTCCAGCGATACCCACTTGAAGCGGTGGTTCATCATCAAGAACCGGGCCAAGCTCCTCCTATGGTAGAGGGGGATATACATATATCATTTTCTACAGATATTGCGATTTGTACATGAACTATACTTTTCCACATTTTTACATCGCGTTGAGCAGAATGATGGGATGACCATCCACTACTGAAATTAATCTTATGTACAACCATCATTAGACTATTATTTTCAACAAACCCAGAGTTGGAATGCTCCCCAGGGAGTGGAGAATGTGCATACATTGTGTGTGGGTGAGCCTGAATCCGATGACCGGGGTAATAATATATACTGTGCCTAGAAACAAAGTATTATGCACGTTATAAATGTGATCTATTATTATTACTATAATTCACAATAGTCACATTAGTTTATGAAGCAACTACAATAACCTAACGTAACAATGCTTGTAAAACATGGCAATGAAAATGTTAAACTAGTCACCCGAGGAATCAAAAGTGTTGTGAATTGATGCAAAATTCATATCATTGCGAAGGGGAAGCCCTACTGATCAAATATAACAACTTCCCTCTTTTTCCATCAACTCTTAAAAATGTTAATTTTGAGATCTAGATTTTCTGCCTTCAGCGATCCTCCGTAGAGCGTCAAGATTCGTAACGTCACATGCGAGACACAGCTGGCCACAAAATTGCATTTTACGCCTTTCCATGATATCTATATAATTTTTTTAGCAAACTATTTGTGTTTTTCAAGAGAAAATCTTTCCATCCGTATATAATTTGTCCAATATGCTCAGTTGTCATGAATTTTCCTCAGGTGACTACTTTAAGCCTGAAAGTAAGAGAAATGAAAATCTACCTCTTCTTGCTTGATCTCTTCTCTATCATCCATGTTGACTGTATTCCAGGCTCCGGCTGCTTCTTCTTCGTCTTCATCTTCCATTGCTTCTTCCTCTTCATCCTCTTTCTCATTGTCTGCCAAGGTTTCTTCTTCTTCGTCACGAAGACCAGACTTCCCTGCAAAATAAACAAAGAGATACATCTGCTGGGATAAGTGTGCTACAGTTTCCTCCTATACCACACTTATGAATGCAATAGACCAGTTCACGGTTAGCACATGTCCCAAATGACCCTGATAATCCACAGATCTTCAAAACATGAAGAGGTCCCACTTTGTACATTTTGATATAATCGCTCCTACAGCGATGGAGGTGCTACATAAATAGCCTTTGTTTCCCCTTTTCAAAGAATACTTCCACCTGTGTATCTTGGAGTGCACTGCTTGTGCATCAATGAATAATGATTACAAACTTTCATGAGCACACACCCAGTATTTTGTCTCCGTGTATTTCACAACTTGGTCTGCAATGACTTTTATCTGCTCATGCTCAGACTGTAACGATAAACTGGCTTATTGAAGATAAAGACCAGTTGTCATGCGATTACATTGTGAAAGGAATGTTGTGGAATCGATCAGAAAAGGTTGATCATCTAGCATATAAGTATTGGTGAGTACTGCAAGGTTCGGGAATCATCAAAATGATAAGAGATTTGGCCCAGTCTTCGTAAAGTTACAAGCACTGTACACAGAAAGATGTATATGGGACTGCGCACACGTGCGCAACATGTGCGTTTATCTCTCACACACCAATAGATAAACTAATTTACCAAATATATCAATTAGTAGACGGTTTCCCGGCAAAATTTTTATCATCATGTATTAGTCAAAACATACTCTTTCACATGATTGGTAATAAGAGCTTCCATTTCATTTTTTGAAATTTGGGCGTTTCCAATACTGGTCTTTACCTTTAAAATGCAGGCAGATTTGGAGGATAACTGTCATGATTAATTATACATTCATACTCATACTCAACTGCTTACACTAGTTGCTCTACACACACCAATGAGCATAAAAGCTGATACAATCTACATTTTCCTTTGATTTCTGGTCAAAAAGAGCAAAATCATTTAAAAACAGCAGTCAATTATACAACCTAAACAAATAGGTCTACAACTTGTATGCCATCAGTTACTGATTGGGCCATTGTTCCATGAAACTAACCACTGATGGGAGCTTTGCCATCAATATTAACTACCATGGCAACATCACTCAACAGACTATCAAGTCAAGTTTTCGATGGAAGTTACCATCAATGGTAAGTTTTATGCAACAGGGGCCTAAATTGCTGAAAACTAGTAAATTTTTCACTTATACTTGACCATCACCAACAGAGAAAGCTATATCACTTTTATGAAAGCTGAAATATTCTTTTCACCCTCAATTCTCTCTTTCTTGCTTTACATCATATCATAGTTGTTGTTGTTGTTGTTGAGATTAATGCCGTTTCCATCGTCATTGGATGATTTCATAGTGTTCACCTTATGTCTTTATATACATATCACACCACATGCCTTTCTCTCTGAACCGCATACATGCTTACCATATGAAGGAATGTCACCCAGGGTTCTACAGAATTCTGACGTTGAGTTGAAGACGATATTTGATCCTTTATTTGAGGCCGATGCTGCTGCTTCCTCATCATCCTCAGGCTCTTCTTTAATACTAGCAACAACTTTAGCAACCTGGTATGTGAAAGACAGAGATTACAGTTAGAATGTTCTTCCCATGTCAGGAAAAGTGCATGTGAGTAAATGAAAAATTTGACATCTTTATTATACAGGGATGCCAGTTAGAATTGATCAGAGGGCCTGGAAATCACATAGAATGAGCTAGTTTGTACACAAAAAAGTCTAAACTCTGGCCTGAAAATAAATTGCCAGGGCCGGAATTTAAGCTTTTGATTGAAAACTGGCATCCCTGATTATCTTAGTTTCTCTTGTGCCTCCGCCAATGGTCTCTTTCTTTCTTACTTTCTTTCGTTCATTTTTTAAAATCCAGAATGGATGAAATCATTGCAGTTATGATTCAATAGATTACCATGAGGTATAAGTGTGGCAATTGCTCTTGTCAGAGCCATTTTTGTCCTGTATTTAATTGTGAAATCTTACATTTTGTTTGCTTAATATATGTGCTGACACAAAAAATACCTAGCCCAAGACAGTGCCTTTGTTTACACCATAACATTCATGAGAGTATACCATTAACATTGCACATGAGCACAACAACCATCCAAATAACAAAACCCTTGCATACCTGATCTTCGACCCGTTGACTGCTCTTGCTCTTCTGTTTAAGTTTCCTGGCTTTGTTGAGAACATTATGTAACTCTTTCTCTGCTTCATCTTCTATGACCTGACCCCAGATATCATCATTGTCATCCCTCTCTCGGCCAAACTCAATGGGTACTACAGGACAAACACAAACCAATCAAATGACTCTACATGAAGGATGCAGTCTGAAGTTTAAAAAAATGAAATGCTAGCCCAGAGGATATTTGAAATCTTTTTTCAAATCTCAATTTAAAAAGTCATCTCCAGGAGGGAACTCAAAGGATATCAAATCTAAGATCATGGCAATTCAGAGTATCACATTATTCTACAATGTCATACTTGGGTGTACTTTGCAAAATTTAAATGTTAGTACATACATATTGCACTATTGAATATCTTCTTTAGGGTCTACAATCTTTAAACAAGTCTAATGGACAGAACATTCAAGACACACAAACAAAATGTATAACATAGAAATAAATCATTTATTATTTGAATCATCATTTCACCCCAAATATATTGAACATCTTTAATTTGTTTCAAAAGCGATTCAGCTAAAACATGCTAGAATAAAACACAGGACAAGACAAGTTAGATGATAAATAATGAGCAAAAAAGAAGAAAATAATCAATAGAAGAATAAAAGTTACTTTGATCAGCATCAGGGAAGTCTACTTCCATATCCATAGCATCCTGTTGAGGTACCCTTCGTTCTACCTTTCGTACCACCGGTGTTTCGGAATCATCCTCTTCTTCTTCTCTATGTCTTCTCCTAATCCCTCCTCTGAAATATAACATAAAAGTGAACATGAAATGATGTCGACCAAAAACAACAACTCAGTGCTTGGCAGATGATGGTTGGTCTGTTTCTATGATGCATGCTCCTGTGACAATTGCATCACAGACATCTTCCTATATTCACTGAAGTCCCCATTAAGGTATTTTCTCAACTGTGTTACAAGCTTCACCAAAGATTTTTGTAAACCAGATAATGGTAATAAATACAAAGCCCTCGTATAGCTTGGATCAGAACAACTATGAAGGGAAATGATACATTTGATGTTGATAATGTTCAGTATTCCATAATAACATTTGGGATATGAAATAATTAAATACCTTTAACTTTCCCAAACCATTTCCTTTGCTTACATGAAATTGGAGGGATAAAAAGAACTTGGTTATCTCTGCAAACTCTCTAGGACTACTGCATTAAGAACTAACCTTTGCCCGTGATCTCTGCCTGCATCAGCTTCAGGAGTCAACTCATCTAGTATCGACTTAACTTTCATTTTCCGCCTCTTCTTCTTGGGTTTCTTGAAGGTTTCCACCTCAGCTACTGTGTAATACTCTGATGCTATGGCAGGTGCTTTCATATCCAGACTCACCTATCATAGATAATATCACATATGTTAAATAAAAACAGGGACGAAACTTGTATAGGTACATTAACCATCTTTGAGTACTAAATAACCTTTGGTGTTGTGTATAACTTATATTTTGTATTGTATGTAAATCATGAATCATATTAATAGAAAAATGTAGTTTTTGTTTTTTCCTTAAATAACCTCAATTTTTAATCCCTCCCTCCCCCCCCCCCCCCTCCTCCCACTAATGATATAATGATATTTCTCTGTGTAGCATTTTGTCACAGTCAACATGCTTTTAATCTAATATTGGACTAATTTTGCATGGGTTAATTTTAATTGCATTGTGTATTTTTGACCATATTGATTTACTTTGAACAATATAGCAACTTTAGAGGAGCGAGAAATCATTTGTTTTTAAGAGGAGCCAAGCACATCATGAAAAATTTCAAACAATAAATAAATGAAATAATGTAGGTATAATATGCCATAGAGTTTTAGAGACATACTGCCTGTTGCTTCAGCTGGTTGCGGATACTCTGCATGTGATCTGCTTCATCCATGTGAGCTGTTCCTGCTTGGTTGAGACGAAAGGATTTCTTCTGCTCTCCTTCGATCTCTTCATCGTACTTGCCAAGAAGCTTCTTCTGATGGAACTGTCGTTGGTAGAAAGGTTTTTAAAGTTAGCATTAATTTCACATTTTGAAGAAAAAATATATTAAAAGGTGATCTAGTCCAATGAAAAAGATTTCATCATGGGAAGGAAATTATTCTTCATTTGAGGAGTTGTCATTCATTTACTCGATTCTCAGGGATGTATCCTTTGGCATGACATTAATCCATATTTGCCACTCTCTACCCAAGTTTTAAAGGGGTACAACTGTACCTGGTAGGATGCGAAAGTCATTGTAGATTTGCACAGCATTGTGAGCGTTTGTAAAATGCTACCTGGCCGGAATTCATCATTTAAGCTTTCTGTTCATGTATGATAAAACATGAATGATAATTGGAAGAACCAACAGAATACTAATGCTATACAGTAACAAGTATATGATATCTTTGTTATTTCCCAATAATCATATGTCTTGTGATTCTAAAGCCCCAGTCCCATATAAAGCCGGACCAGCACGGACGAGCACGGACCACTCCGGACCATCCCGGACCATGGTCTGGGGTGATCCGGGATGGTCCTGGATGTTTTGTTAAAAAAAGTGTGATGCTTTTAAGCTACAGTCCCATATACGTCCCGGACCGTCCCGGACCATCCCGGACCCCATCCGGGATTCGGTCCGTGTTGACACCGTGTTGGCACCGGGGTGGTCCTGGATGGTCCTGGATGGTCCTGGATGGTCCTGGGCGGTCAATAACTCACTCCCGGACTGCCACGGATCAACACGGACCGCCCTGGCGCCACTACGGATGAACCCGGACCCAGCACGGTGGCTACACGGATCACCCCGGATCAAACTATCGTCCCGGACCGTCCCGGACCACCCCGGCAGTTTTTGACCGTCAAAAACATCCGGGGTCGACTCCCGGACCGCCCAGGACCATCCAGGACCATCCAGGACCATCCAGGACCATCCAGGACCACCCCGGTGCCAACACGGTGTCAACACGGACCGAATCCCGGATCACCCCGGATGGGGTCCGGGATGGTCCGGGACGGTCCGGGACGTATATGGGACTGTAGCTTTAGAAACACAGTCCACTGTAAAAATCCCTCTTTTAAGACTAAATTATTAAATTCCACTGACTTTAGCACTTTGCCAATAAAGTCTGTACCCCATATAAACAAAATTATAAGCAGAATCTAAGGACTCATTTGTTGTATTGTAGTTCAGTAATCTTGGAGAGGTGTATGTAAAGCGCATAGAGCAGTTTTAATTGGTTATGCACTATATAAGTGACAGTTTATTATTATTATAACATGAGCTTGCTCCAACTTGAGCATAATATAGGCTCTATATGATAGAAAATGACCCTGACATACAAGCACAGGTAGGTTTTACTGAACTAGAAAGGGTCTCAAAGCCATAGGTCAGATTTGACTCACCGTTCCTTCTTCATCAAAGTCATCTTCTTGATATGCCTTGTAATCTGGTCTCTTCTTCCTCAGCTCTACATTCTTCTTAGCTCTCTCATTATCAATCATGTTAACATTCACTAGGACATCCTCTTCTTCTTGCAGGCCATCTAGACAAGGTTAGAGCCAGATCAAAATTTGTAATTAATCAAGTGGAGTTACACCAATAATGACTATAAATTTTGATTCAATATCATTGGACGGAGTCGGGCTAACTCGGACCCGGGGACAACCAGGCCCGCTTAAAAAACAGTCAGTTTTTGCAGGTTTAGGGTTCTGTTAGGTTTAGTATTAGAGTTAGAGTAAGGGTTAGGGTTAGGGTACAATCACAACAAATCACAACAAATGACCGAGTGGTCCCCGGGTCCGAGTTAGCCTGGATCCCATTGGACTTATACTGGCATCACATGTAATTATGTTGGCCTCATAAACTACTTGCTTCATACATAATCATGCTTGCCTTATAAACTCACAAACGCCCACCTGTTTTAAGGACATGATTTCAAATTTACTTCAAATTCTACTTCTTTACAGAGTTTAAAAAAACAATGCTTATTAATAACAATAAAAGTATATCAATGAAATTGATTGTCTAGTATCCATATATCTTCTTTTTTTCATCACAATATTTACAGTGCATATTTTGACTCAAAACACATATAAGCTAAACTTTATAACTTACCCATATCTTTGAGTGTTAGGATAACACTTTGTCCTTCTTGAAAATTCTTTGTAGAATGTTCAATTTTAAATCCATCCAAGTTTCTCCTAGAATATGCCTAAATGATTTTTTTTTTAATGAGTCAATAAGATATATGCATAACACTCAAATTATGACATGAACTGGAAATGATATAAAGAAGCATTTGTTGAGATTACTATCATCTCAAAATAAATTGTTGATTATTTAAAGTCAACATACATTTTTAAAGGATAAAAGAAGAGAAACAGTATGAATTTATGAATACAAATATAATGACAACTTTTACCCAAAATTCACATCGGAATGAACAGTAACAATCTTTAATTTAACTGATGATGATGATTCACAATATTTAAATGATGCCATATTTCTGTGAAAAACAAATGGATTGAAATGCTAAATAGACAAACAATTGTAATGTGCGGCAAGTCATCAGAGATTCTGGCTTTACATCAATAGTATTTTTTTTTTTTTTTTTACGAAGTGCCGTATGTTGTTTTAGTTTATTTCACTTTCATAATGCGGGTGTGTACTTACTTGCTCTTTTGTCTTGCTGAACTCATCCTCAACAATTTTTCCAATACCAAATTCTGCATCCATCTCCTCTAGCATCTTTGCCTAAAGTATTAGAATAATGAAAACAATTGTCATATCTAAGAAATATTTTATTTCATTTTAATTTCATTAATTCAAATTATATTCAATTTAATTACTGATGTTAGTTTGTTCATTCTATAAATAAATAATAGAGAAGTAGATAATCATTTTGTTTTTCAATACATTCAAGGTAAAAACACACTAATATCAACTTCAGACAATTTTGTATTTATATACTTTCCATATGCAATCAATGTGACTGTACTATTGCACCTTTCATAATGTGCATTTATATTCACTTCTACAGCATGCCTGATATCTACATATACCTCAGCATCATTTAAACTCAACCCAAATAATAGAAAATAATTATTTTGTGTACACTGATATCAAAGTTATATCGATTCACACACTTCTTTTATTGTTCTTTCTGTATCAGAATGTATTCTTCCACATTATCTATTCCTTCACATTCTCTTTCTCTCTTCCCCTCTCCTCCACAAACACTCTCTTTATCTCCATACAGGCTAATTATCAGCAGCAACAAAATCTCTTGTTATTCATATCTGTTAGTCAAAATCATCATACATGTATTCATTTTTCTCTTCCAGTTTCTACCTATCCTCTTTGTATAATACAATCTTCAAATCAATCAGTTCCCCTCTCCTTCTCTGTTCATCTCTCCTTCTCTCTCTTTTTCATGTCCTGAAGAACTCACCATTTTGTCTGCTTCAGCTTTAGCAATCTGTTTCTTCCTCATCCTCTCAACCCAAGCTGCAGCATCATCATCGTCGTCATCATCAGCCAGGACCTTGACTTTGCTGTAAATTACATATGAACACAATCACTATCTGTGAATGATAATAATAATAATAATGGGTTCTTGTATAGCACTCATGTCAGTCAGATTTGACCCTCCTGGCGCTCCTGATTATTACCCTGGCTTTAGCACGGCTGCCATACAGCGCTCTAGCATTTCAAGGAATGAATTCCTACCAGGTACCCATTTACTTCCCCTGGGTTGAGTGTGGCAAATCTAGATCAATGTCTTGCCAAAAGACATTAGTGCCGCAGTGAGACTTGAACCGCGAACCTTGTGATCGACAGTCCGGCGATGTATCCACTCGACCACAACACCTCTACAGGACTGTGAACAAGTTTTAAACCATTCTTTTGACAAGTTCCATAACATGAGCCATGACCTGGACTACTCTTATTATTTGTCTGTGACTGTGCAACTCTTCTATGTTTATACATGTACTATGTTCCTTTATTGAAGATTGACATCAAGTGATACAAAATCCACACAAAAAAAAAAACAATTTCCATACAAGTACAAATATAAGTCAGGTTCAGGTGCATTCTATTCCAATCTCAAAAAAAAAGGCATCTCTGGTTCCTTTAAAGATAAAGACCGGTTCTGGTTATGCGATTGCATTGTGAAAGAAACGTTGTGGAATCGATCAGAAAAGGTTGATCATCTAGCATATAAGTATTGGTGTGTACTGCAAGGTTCTAGAATCATCAAATGATAAGAAATTTGGCCCAGTCTTCGTAAAGTTACAAGCACTGTACACAGAAAGATGTACATGGGACTACGCACACGTGCGCGACACGTGCGTTTATCTCTCACAGTCCAATAGATAAACTAATTTACCAAATATATCAATTAGTAGGCGGTTTCCCAACAAAATTTTTATCATCATGTATTAGTCAAAACATATTCTTTCACATGATTGGTAATAAAGAGCTTCCATTTCATTTTTTGAAATTGGGGCGTTTCCAATACTGGGTTTTACCTTTAAGCTGCTTTTAATTTAAAACAAACAAAAAAACAACTAAGATAAACAATTGGGTCATGATGTCGGATATTATAAAGACTAATTCTTCCTTAGTTGTGGACTAAAAATAATTAAAGAACCACTTTTAAGACAGGACAAACTTATGAGAAAAACATTTCTAAATCCCATGAAAGTATAACTGAATGTTGTCAAGAACAGAAATAGAAGTTATGAATTCATCAAGCAGTAGACTTCTTAAATGAATGCAAGACACTCACTGTAATTTCTTGTTGATGAGTCTCTTCTCACGAATCTGAGCCATCTTTTCTTTGAGAGCTGCTGTCTTCTTGAGATCAGAAATGTTAACTGCAGGCTTGTGAACATCTTTCTTCTCTTCCACAATCTCTCCTGGCTCTCCACTTCCTTCACCATCAACATTCAACGGAGCCAGGCCTAGTTTGGCTCGAAGTTTGCTGTTAAAATTAAAACAAATTTCTTTGATAAGTACATAGCATTTTAAACAAACAACAAACAAACAAATTTAAATCGCAATTTCAGTGTCACAATTACAATGACATATAACCCTCTGCAGGGCACAGCACTAAATACCAAATCTCTACAACAAGATAGTCCCTAAAACTAAAAGAATCATCCATTTATTCTTAAGTCAAGAACATAACAACAACAACAAACATTTAATAAACAACAACAAACAGAAACAATACTCCGTCTTGATTATCATGTTCAAAGTGTTCATTCAGTTGCTATCGCTCTCACCAAGAATACAGAAGAGAATCATTATTTATTTACATTTTAAAGGATGATGATAACTGCAGTTTTTACTATATGTACCTTTCACATTCAGAAGGGAAAACAAAATTGTGAATAAAACTTACTTTGTTGCTTCAATACTGAGACTAGCAGCAAACCCTCCTTCATCACCACCACTAGGTGCAGCATCTTGCCTCTCATTATCTGAAAGCAAACAGAAAAAGAAAAGTTTAGACAAAACAGAGATTGGGGCACTATTGGTTTTCATGATTTCTCTTCCTCACCATTTAGAAGTGTTTGAGCAGAATCTTAGTATAGGGAAAGTTACATAGTAACATGTCAAAGCAAAGACGAGTCTCTCAAGAGTCAAGTAGGCCATGGGCCATGGCATGGGACTGATGGGAGAGTTTCTAAATACTGTTGTAAAATGGCATTTGTTTTGCCAATTCTCTCATTGTGTATTCGTGAACGTGTAGATACATGTGTGACCAGGCGCAGGTTATTTTACCAGAGCGCAGGTATTTCACATATGTATGCATCTTGGATGCTCTTACGTATCCGTTTATCGTCCTTTTACGGGCGCGCGACTCGCGGCAATGATCCAATATCCTAAGCACTGGTTCATTCGAGATCTTGACAGCTGAAGAGGAAAGGGAAACCAACTCCAAGCCTAAAGTGCCGAAGCCCCGCTCTCGAAGTCACCCTCCGACTGAGAGAGTTTTTACCGTCTAGCTGACATCGTTCATCTAGTATTTATAGCTGAGCATCGTTCATCTATTATAGCTGAGCATCGTACATCTAGCATTATTATAGCTGAGCATCGTTCATCTACTTATCTAGCATATAGCTGAGCATCTAGTCTGTATCGAGTACTTCTAATATAAGGTGAGTTAACGAGGTATAGTATACCGTTAGTGCCCGTTAGTGTTTCCTTTCTGTCATTTCACCCCATTTCACCGCCCCGTAAGTAAACGGTGGTTTAACTCCGCCATCATTCATCATCTTTCACTAACCACTGATTTTACTTTAATACTGAAATAGGGATGATTATCATTGATTGGGGGCTGGTTGTCTTTGCCTTACGTCCAATACTATGGACCAGGCATAGGAGCAATCCTACAATGCAGCACAAGGACTAACCTTAAACGGTAAGGACCTCACACTAGTATAGTCACACCCGATATAGATTTTAATGCTCTATTATTAATATTAATACTTAATATTAGCCTCTAATTGTCAAAAGAGCACATATTTTTTACACACATCCTGCAAATGTACAAATCAAATGGGACAGAAATAAATCTCTGCTGACACAGACACAGTGACTGATACATCGATACCACTGAGCAAACATATTCCTTCATCCTACATTATAATAGCTAAAATTGTCTTGCTTGTCATTCTGCAGTAGTTGAGAATTCTACTGCAGTATTCAGTCCAAATGACTTCCAAAATGTTACATGGCCAGCTGGACATAAGATGCCCGAACGCACATTAAACCTAAACCAGATCGTAGCAGACGCGGGCACTCAAGTCAGTTTGAAATACCATCAGCCAAATTCACTAGGTCTATACAAGAACTCATTCTTTCCTCGCACAACCGGAGCATGGAATAATCTCGATCCGACCTTAGTATCCCTGACTGATTCAGCAAAGTTTAAAGTAGCACTCCTTCCGAAATAAGTCCACTCTCTGCCACCACGACCTCCAGTTTAAATTCCACTAGGAATCTTTTGGAGGAACAACAACCAAGTAGGCCTAGATTCTACTGCACTGACTGATCAGTACGTTTATTTGTTCAGTCCCACGTGTCCATTTGTGTGATGTGAAAAAGTTTAAAGTATCCTTAATTTCTTTATGAATTTGGTCTATGCCTATGAAAATGCTAGATCAACTGTATTCTCAAATACCTTGAATTCCATCGTCATTCTCAATTTTTATTTGGAGTGGACTTGGACTTCTTCGACGTTTCCGATCGCTTCTCTGTTCCGGAGAAGAAACTTCCCCGGCTTCCACGTCTTTCTCGGCATGACGATCCCTGTGTCTATGTTTACTCCGATGTTTTCGCTCTTTATCTCGGTCCTTATCACGATCTTTATGTTTGTGTCTCCTTTCTCGATCTTTGTCCTTTTCCTTGTGTTTCTTAGATGATCCCATGCTGAATATTATGGAATGTAAATCAAGGTAAAAGTCTCCCAATTTTCAGGTGCAAATCGTTCTCAAATCGCAGAAGTAATAACATAAAGCTTGAGTCTAGCTATCGGCGGCCGCGCGTAGATGGCGTTCTTCATTTCAGCCATGAACGAAAGAGCAGTCTGCGTTTTCCAACCCTTTTCTAGTCAAGGCACCCTTTGAAACAAAAGGTTTTGCATGATCCCCCTATTAGCAGAAGATTCAAGCTGCATCACTTTGGTACTCGCCAAGTATCATATACACACATACGGACCCATTTGGGTTTTTTTTAAGACTAAAATTCGATATGGCCTACATGCATGCACAAGCGCGGATCCAGGATTTCTTAGGGGGGGGGGGGGGGGCCAAATTTAAAATCAATCTGAAATTTAGTGTGCTGAAATTTGAAAATCGTGCAGGCCAATATTTCGCTCAGTGGGGGGGGGGGGGGAGAGGGGGTAGTGAGCACTGATTTTTTTTTTTGGTCCTCGAAAATTTGAAAAATCGCACCCCCCCCCCCCCCCTTGAGCGCCAAGGGGGAGGGGGATCTAAAAAAAAGGGGGGGGGGTAAAATTAACGTTTTTTCGCCAACCCCCCCCCCCCTTCCCTGGATGCGCCACTGATACCATGACACCTTCATGAGTTTGCCGTGGGTGTAAATCTCTGCTGATCAGGGCAACGTTTCACAAATAAAATGTCTAAAAAGATAAGTCCGTAAAAGGTAGATATATTGATATATTAGGCCCTTCACGTGATGTTTATACATCATGTTCAGTAAGTGTTTTACAATAGCCTAGATACTTTAAAAGAGAAGAGGGCGACCAAAATATATAACGTGTTAGAAAACTTGTATTGACCGGAAATCACTGTGACCTGACAAAAACCTTCAGTCCAGTTCGGCCCTTGTCTAAAGTCCAGTAGTCCACTATATTTGTTTGCTATACCCTGTACAAAATAAACTACAAACAGATGGATAGATATTTCGGGTTACGGTTTTATAGATCATTGTCTATGAGTATTGGTCAAAGTAGAGTTGTCATCGTATATTAAAGCAATCAAATATTCGTTGAAACAATCTGTTTGAATTATGGAAGAAACAGAAATTGACCAGCGGGCAATTAAAGTTCAATCATTGTTATTACTGGCCAAGAGTTATAAAATGTGCCAACAATAAAAAAAAAAATATATATATATAAACAAATTGTGTGATGTACGTACGTGTTGATTCCAAACTCTGTACTCTTGCAGACAGAACATTTTACGGCACAATAATATTGCAGATAGTGTTGGCGACATGGAGAACCAACGCGTAACTGTAGAGGAGGTTGATCACGAGGCTGATGACCAGGTTGATCCCGAGAATGATCAGGGAGGTGAAGTAAAGCTTGAGCGCAGGCTTAGTCTCTTGGATGGTATCATGATCAACGTCGGAGTAATAATTGGATCGGGAATCTTCATCTCGCCTAAGGGTGTCTTGGCCAGTGTCGAAAGCGTAGGTGCCACCTTGTGTATATGGGTGGCTGGTGGGATCGTTTCGGTCTTCGGTGCCATATGTGCTACGCTGAGTTGGGCACGATGATCCCCGCATCGGGAGGCACTTACACCTATGTCCGCGTGATCTTTGGGGACTTTTGGGGTTTCCTCAACTTCTGGGCTGGTACCGTCATCGCGTCACCCATTGCCAATGCCGTTACTGCATTGATGCTTGCCATGTACTGCCTGGAGCCATTTTACCCCGATCCAGAATGTCCCCCACCAAATGTTGCGATCAAACTCTTCGCCATTGCAGCCGTCATGTTCATCATGTTTGTTAATTGCTGGAGCGTGAAGTTATCTTCTCTACTGCAGAATGCCACATCACTGTCCAAACTTGTCGCTCTCGGCGTCATCATCATCACCGGCATGGTCAAACTCGGGATGGGAAACACTGAAAATTTCCAAGAACCTTTTATTTAATAATACTAATATTAAAGGACTGGGGACGGGGTTTTATGCGTGCCTCTTCTCTTACTCTGGCTGGCAAAGCTTGAACATTGTTATTGAAGAACTAAAGAACCCTTCCAGGAATCTTCCAATCGCCGTCATAGCCGCTCCGACATTGGCGACTGTTGTAAATACCCTGACCAATGTGGCGTACTTCGCAGTGTTGTCCTCTGCGGAGCTATTAAACTCTAAAGCCGTTGCAGTCAGTTTCGCCGAGCAGGCATTGGGGAGTTTCTCTGTCATCATCCCTATCTCCGTTGTCTTGTCCTGCATTGGGTCTCTCAACGGGGCCATCCTGGGGGGTTCAAGACAGTTCTTTGCGGGAGCCAGAGAGGGCCATCTCCCACGATTCCTAGCCATGGTTGGCATACGGCACAAGACACCAATTCATTGAGTCATCGTTGCGTCACTCCTTACAGCCTGTCTGTGCTTCGTTGACAGCGTTTTCACCCTGATAAACCTATTCAGCTTCGTCAGCTTCCTCTTTTATGGATTATTAGCAGTTGGTCTCCTGTACTTGCGAATCAAAGAACCCGGTCGACCAACACCTTTTAAAGTCGACTTTATCATTCCTGTCATTTTTGCGCTGGTGTGCACGTTTCTTACAATTTTCGCTTTCTTAGGGGCGCCTGTGGATTCTATCATTGGCGTAGCCATCCTCTTAAGTGGAATACCCATTTACCTCATCAGGGCCCGATTCAACACACATTCAACATGGATGATGAAGCTTTACAGACATAACTTTGTTTTCTTCCAAAAATTAACGTTTGTTACCCCTGAGAGTCATCACGATGCGTGATGAATGACCGTTGCGTATATGAGCTAGCGTCAGTTCGATTGCGCTATTAGGCCTATACTTTCATACGGTACAGTGCGTCAACAAAATGGCGCCTTAAGTGCAACGGGTCTAGGGCGGTTTATCAGTTTCTGAATAAACGTCCAGAGAATTTTCAATTAAAGGTAATACAAAGTTTTGGGAAATTTCGAAAATTGGGTGGATAGTGAATCTTTACCTTTTTGATATATTTGGATGCCCCTGTGGATGTTTTATAAGCACTAAAAAAATTAGCCCCTAAAACACTTCTGTTTTCGAGAAAAATTGAATATAAAAATTTACCGGTGCTCCCGGTAAATTTTGATAAATTTCAAATAGCGCCTATGGCCGTACAATTGTAGCTGCGACCATGAACATCTCAGAATATGTAGTTGTGATATATAATTTCCAAATGGGAATAGCTAATCGGTCGATTTTAGTCAAGAAACATTGTTTCATAGCTAAATTAATATCTTGACCTTGAGAGGGAGCTATACAACATAAGAAGTTTATTATTTACAATTTCATAACTTTAGACTCGATTTCAACCGCGACAACGATCAGTGAATATTGTAGGAACGCCTACGCTTCCAATATGTTCATTTGAACCAAATTTGACCCCATACCAAAACTTTGTAATACCTTTAAGAATAAAGAATATTAGAGACATTTTTATACAAATCTACAAATTAATATATTAACTATTTTGAGGTTCTTGTTGATTTTGAAATAACTTGAAATAAATTAATCTTGCTTATTACAATTTTGTCCACTTTTGCATTTTTGATGATACAGGCTAATCGGCTTACATAAAGGTGTACCTGTTGTGGATTTTCGTATTTCTCGATTGTTTTAATGTATCGTCATCAAAATCAATACAAAAAATTATTGATTAAATATTAGTGATTCTTTTTATCTATCACTGATTCTATTCTTTTGTATCCAATATTGCCCTTAACGACTAAAATTGAATCGGTCACCAGTTAGATCCAGACAGGCGCGAATCCAGGATTTCTTAGGGGGAGGGGTTGGGTCTAGGAGGCGAAGCCCCCAGAAGCTCAGGGGTTTTATACATTAAATTAACGTCAAATAAGGCATTTTATACCCTATTTGTGACACTGGCAGGTCACGAATGGGCGTGGGGTCCAGGGGGCGGAACATCCGGAAACTCAGGGGTTTGGGGCAATAAATTACGGTCAGATGAGCATATTTTGATACCTTATTTGTGACACTGTCAGGACACAATATTGGTGTTGGGTCCAGGGGGCGGAGCCATCAGAAGATCAGGGGTTTTATACATCAAATTATCGTCAGATGAGCATTATTTTATACCTTATTTGTGACACTGGCACAGGGGCGTACGCAGGATTTTTTCAAGGGGGGGTTTTAAAATCTGGCCCAAAATATTTTGCTCCCGAAAATTTGAAAATCGCGCCGGCCGAAAAGTCGGCTCAGTGGGGAGGGGGGGGGGGGGGGGGGGGGGGGGGGGGGGGGGGGGGGGGGGGGTAAGCGGACACTTTTTTTTGGTCTCGAAATTTGAAAATTTGACATTTTTTTTCGTTGGGGGGGGGGGGGGTAAGGTCACTTAACGTTAGCCGTGGGCATAATTTTTTTTTTTTATTTATTTTTTAATTAAATTGAAAAACAAAACAAAAAAACAAAGGGGGGGATTTTAGTTTTTATTTAGGGGGGTTTACACACATAAAAATACCAAAGGGGGGGGTTTGAACCCCCCCCCCCTGCGTGCGCCCCTGCACTGGCAGGTCACGAATTGGCGTGGGGTCCAGGAGGCGGAGCCCCCGGAGGCTCATGGGTGTTAGGCAATAGATTACGGCCAGATGAGCATCCAGGGGCCCGCCTTATAAATGGCCATTGGTTGGGTTCGGGGGCAGAGCCCCAGAAGCTCAGGGCTTTTGGCATTTAATTACGTCAGATGAGCATAATTATACATTGTTTGTGACACTGGCAGGACACTAATTGGCGTGAGGTCCAGGGGGCCGAGACCCCAGAAGCTCAGGGGTTTTAAGCATTAAATTACCGTCAGATTAGGATCCAGTCGTCCGCCTAGGTGGGGAAGTCACAGGAAGTCAAGGTTTTTAGGCATTTAATTACGGTCAGGTGAGCATATTTTGATACCTTATTTGTGGCACTGGTAGGTCACTAATTGGTGTGGGGTCCAGGGGCAGAGCCCCCAGGAGCTCAGGGGTTTTAGGCAATACATTACCGTCAGATGAGCATCCAGGTGCCTGACTTTGGGCCCTAGGTGAAATCCAGAGCCCCGGAAGCTCAGGG